TGGAAGGCACGATCGAGGCGTGGAAGACTTGGTCCGAGTTATTAGGGCCAAATAGAGCTCTGGATTATGTCACGAGGCTCTACTTCTGAATCACGGGTTTAGACTACTAACTCTATGCAAATTTAATTTTAAAGTTAAAACACTAGACTCTCTATGAGTCAAACTCTCACTGAATTTCTCCAAACGCTTCCTGAGTTTTTATTGAAGCGAAATGATAGGACTTAAATACTTTAGATCAATGCTGCGTACATGAATACCTTTTACTAACATCTGCTATTCTAATATGTTCTATTTTTAACAAATTTAGGATAACAGGATCGATCAGGTGTAAAATCACACCTGGCTTAGACGAATAGGGCAAAACTGCTCCAGGTGCGAAACTGCCCCAGGTGCGAAATCGTCCCAGGTGCAAATTCGCCCAAGGTATGAAATTCCTATTTTAGTAACACATACTGTCTCAACTTCGTAATAATAAGAATAATACTAATATAATAACAATAATACTGGACAAAAAATAAAATAAACAACATAAAAAACAAATTTTTGGATCACGGTCACCTGGTCCCCTTTTACAACGTACGTACAGTACATATAAAACCCGTTATTTTTTCAATTTTATTATTTTTTATTTTAATACTATAGTTTTATTTTATACCATAGTCAAATACAATTTTTTTTTTTAGCATTGAAACATTAAGATCATCAAAGAACTATGAAAACTAACACAAATGATCATATTTTTTAAAATAATAATCCGAACAAAATCTATTTTTTTTTTTATTGAGTTCATAACTATGGAAGCAGTACAAGGATTTTGGCTAACGGCCGGAGATCTTCGAAATTTTGGTCCGCATTACAAAATTGTTTACTAAATTCCGGCCGGAATTAACTTTTTAATTTTTTTCATTACTAAAATAGAAATTTTTAAAAAATAAGCATGCATTATGGTAAAATTGACCCAGGAACAATTTTCACTTAATAGGCGGCTGCGATTTCATTAGTAAAATTATGAGTAATTCCAGCTTAATTTCTTTAGCCAATCAAAATTGAGGATCTGCCGCGCATTTTTTGTGCGGCACCTAGGTTCAATTATTTCGGGTGGTTCTGCGCCTAGTTTGCCCATCACACCGTCTAAAATTATGTGACTATATAGAGTTTGTGATTATATGGGAGGTAATTATATGGGAGGAAGACTGTAGAACCCTTGATGTCTTAATTATATAGTTTATATTAAGGATTGGATCCCCTTCCCCTTTGTATTTGAGTTTAAATATTAGTTATTAGTTTAGTTTATTCTTTTTATCGTTGTTTTATTTCTTTATTATTGTTGTCTCGCATTTCTTATTGTATGTAATAAACCCTTTCCGGTAATTAAAGTTTGATCGTTAAGTAATAACCACAACCCAGTTTAAGTGCTTCGTGACATCATATCACGTGCATAAGAATCATAAATTCCGAACTTAGTTATTCATCAGAGCTAAATTGATTAACATCCGCAATTGCTCTCCCAACTGATGGTAACACTATTATAAATGTGCCAATTATGACGCACACGTGGTATCTAGTGATCTAGCGATTAGAATCGAACAATTTCGGTACCATTCGATTCGTCTAAATGAGACGAGTTGAATGGTATCAGAATCATCCGATTCCGATCAGAATACCACAAGTTACAAGTAATTAAAGATTAAATTATAAAGACTAAAAAAAATAAATTTAATGTACCGTCAGCGAATTGTTAATTAAGTAAATCGCCCTTCATTATTAAGACAATTTTTTCATTGTTATAAGTTCTACTTACCTCTGGATTTTTCATAAAAATCGGATAATTTTTTATCAATTGGTTTTTATAATACGTTTTTATACCAAAAGAATCTATTATGACGCATGTAAGTTTTTTACAAATGACAATTAATAAAAATTATCCGATTTTTATGAAACTTTAAGTTAAGTAGAATTAATATGAACAAAATTTTCTTGATAATTAAGGTCGAATTGCTTAATAAAAAAAGCCGCTATTAACATATTACTATTAGATTAAAGATTAAAACCTATAATTAGAAATTTTGTTTATTTTATCTAAACGTCAATATCTCGTTATTTTACCACCTTTTGATTCGTCTCGATGAGACTAATAGAATGGTAGTAAAATAATCCGATCTAGATCACTGGATCACAAGATATCCCGTGTGCGTCATAATTAGTAATGCGTCATAATACCCCTTAACCTTATATCCATAAGACAATTTCTATTTCGTTGATTCTCACTTTCCTGAAACCTACCTTCCTGAAATACCATTTATCCCGACCTCATAATTCCGAATTTATTTCCCTGACATAACCATCCCCGACAACCTGAATTCTGAAAATTTTTATTCAACAGACTTTTTCACCGACAAACCTCTTTCTTTGAACTCCTGTTCCCCAGACAAAAATTTTTTCTAAAGTCTTTTCACCGACAAATATTTTGATATATATTCTTGAAAGGATATTTCTCCGAAAAGATGTCTTTACGAAATATATTCCTCAAAAAGATGTCTTCTCGATTGAACAAAATTGCATAAACCAGACTAACTTTGTCAGTTAAATGATTGTCAGCAAATTAGTTTATACCTTTTTCGGATTATTAGGTGACCCAGAGTTTATAAAAATAGCTGTGAATTCTGTAAAAATCCTTCGGTAAAAGAGCTTTCAGTAATTCATCTTCGAAGAAATTAAACGTCAAAAAAAAAAAAAAATTACCATTCGGAATATGGCATGTAAGTTTAATATTTGGTGTAACGGAAATTGTAAATTAATGACTTATCAGTAAATTTATTTTAAATGATATTCCGGTAAAATAAGACTTTCGGAATTATGTCTTGTTAGTAAAATGGGATGTTAGTATTATGAATTCGGTGAAATGGTATTTCAGTAAAATTGATTTCGGGAAGTTAACCCGTTTGTACACCAGTGTATGAAACACAGGTACAAATTATTACTCAAAATTTTGCTTATGGAATCTCTTTGTTTTGGTTCTAACAATAAAAAAATAAATTACTCTTAAAATTTTAATATAAACCCTAACTTAATTTGATTTAGTATTTTTTTTTTCTTTAAATTCTGCGTTAAAATTAATTAATAAATTTATATTAGTGTTTCATACACTAGTGTAATTAATAAATTTTCTATCCATAATTATTTAATATAATTTGAAAATTTTCTATGGAACAATAGAATGCCTGCACTGATTTGTTGTTTGAAAATCTCAAGTAGTGTGACCGTTTCTACCCCTACATACAGTATTTCTTATTATTGACCACACTAAACCCGATTTAGTGAAATCGCGTTCCTTGACAAATTTTAATTAACAGTTGCTATTTTAGAAAAACCATGATCGAATTCCTTAAATGTAATTTCTTATGTAATATTTATTAGTGTATAAAATTTGAAAAGCACTATAATACAACTTTGAAACAGACCACACATCACTAGAAATCCGAAAGTCTAAAAATCGAAAATTTAAGTGACTAATTCTTGTTTATTGCTAGTTGTAGTGTCAGAAAAGGGAAAATCAAAAAAAAATTTGGAAATTTTTATTTGTAATAATTTTTATTCGCAAAAAAAATTTATAAATTTTAAACATTTCTGTGTGATGTCGATTATTTGCTCACAGTGATTTAAAAAGCACTCTAATAAGATTTGACTATGTAAGAAGGCTTGTTATTTTTTTCTTTTATACTTTATTTACGTATACTATAGTCAAAAATTATATATTCTTTAAGCATTGAAATTCTAGGATCAATCGAAGAACTATGAAATCAAATAAAATTAAACCATACAAGTCGTTACCAACTTCATTAAAAAAGTATTTGAATATAATAATGCTATTTATCGGACCACTATTATGGTTAACATTAGTTATATTCTCATTACGTGGAGCAATAATTGACGATGGAGGAATTTTAATTCCTGGTCAACCAGGTATTCTACTAGGTGTAAACACTACCGTTAGGTATATTATTGCATTCATAATTACCTTGACTGTAACTGATGTAGTAGAGGCTAGTTTACGATATTATAAAAGTAATAGTATTCAGCTAAATGGACTTGAATTATTAAGGCTTATTAAATTAGGAACTGAAAGGGGTTTTTTAGGAATTATTGAATCATTTCAAAATAGACCAAAGGGGTTATATATAGTATGGATATGGTTAATTATTGTTGTAATTGTACCATATTTATTAGCAACTGCGGATATTGCATTACATTATTGGGTCACCGCTGAAGTTGTACTGCAAGAAGGTCAATATAAAATTTTAAATAATGCAATTCAAATAGATCCAAAATGTGGAAATACTTCAATAAGTGAACTAGATACTTGTGCTCATTGGGAAGCTGTGACTGGAAGTGGATTAAGATACCCAAATTACGTAAGTAATTTTAAGAAAAAAACATTATGGGTTATGATATGAATGAAGGATTAGTCATCATGTCACGATTGAATGATACAATATGGAACGGAGATTTTAATTCATATATAATTCTAGCCAATTGTACACCCGTTTCAACTTTATGTAATTTAAAAGCTGTAATCGGCGCACTAACTAGTGTTAATTGTCCTAGCAGTCTGTATAATATAAATGGTAATATAGAAACTAATCCAAATCTAATTACACCACTTGGAGATGGAGCTATGTATAATAATACTGAAATTCCAACAACTGCTGGTCAATTAGGAAAATTAGAATGGCTAATAAGTGGGCGATTCACTAAAGATCCTTCAACAACATATGATGATGAGTTCGCAACTGAAATGCATGGTGCAGAAGATGTACTTTTATATTGTACCACTAAAATAACTGCAAGTACTGTATCATTCTCTAAAAGTAATTGGAGTGTAAAACTTGGTGAACCTTTAGATGCTAACACAACTCGTGCTGTGAGCTATGGGATTAGAGAAATGGATAATGAAATACGCACCGCGCTTCAAGACGCTTCATTTAATGGGAGCAGTATGTTAGTTGCACAAGAGGCCGAGCGCCAATTAAAACTTGGAATTGCTGGTATGGTAGCAAGTGTTACTGTAGGTAACGTTGATCAAAGTCTTGGGAAAATATCTGTCGCTGATAATATTACAGTAACGCGAATTGCAATAATGGCATTAATTTTGTATGGTATAGCATTAGTTATCGTTCCATTAATAATAGCTGGATGGATATTATTAAACATTGGCAAATATACAGAAGGATTTGATTCGAATGGTCAACCAGTTGTTGTACAAACTATGCTTGCTGAAATGATAACTATTACCGATAGAATTATTTATGACGCTATAAGAGCTCCTTCTTGGGGAGCATGTTTTAAAAGTATTGAATTTCAGCAACAGTTGATCAGCCAAGATCAAGCTGGTATTGGACATAGGGATGGCCATTTTGGTCTTTTTAATGGTATTGTTTCATCAACTGAGGGTGTTGTAAATACCGGAACACCTATTTCTACCTAAATTAAAATTGTTAGCATTAATGTATTACTTTATTTACATTGTTCATATATTTATTATATAAAGTAACTTGGTTTTATATGTTAAAAACAAATGACCAATAATGACATGTATTATTTAAATTCGGTAAATTTATCTTTCAGAAAATTTCAAATGCTTAATTTTGTATAAACTATTACTCGTCCACTATACAGTGAAATTATTATTAACTAGATAAATCAGATATTAAATTTCTACATCGTTATCAAAATGGAATTGGTGGGAAAGAAGAAAATTATATACAGGAAGAATAAAAGCTAAATAATAAACTAAAGTAAAAAAAAGATTTGTTACAGTAGATAATAACTCAACTTCCAAACTTCAATGTGATCATCAAACCGGTTTGAGGGGTACATAGATGCACGCGATATTCAGTTGTTATAATTATTATTATGAAAATGGCAGGTTCAGTTTCTGCGGTTTATGTGCTATTAAATTTAAACGGGATATGCTTCCGGAAAAGGCAATAATATTGCGCCCGTAAGCGGTTGTTCATGCGGCTTAGCGCTGCATACACAGGTCGGTTTCAGTATGAATATTGATGCTGTATTAGTAGCATAAAGCCTACTTGCATTTCCCATGGATTTATCTTCATTCTCATTGCCGCCTTTATTAAGTTAGTGATTACTGTTTGTAGAAAGTCATTCAAATCATACTCACCTCCTTTGATTATCCGAACAGGACTTGCTCTGGTTGATGGTTCCACGATGCGCATCACTATGCTTAGCATCTTTTTCGAGGGAAGATTGAAGAACAAGTACCCAGTGATATATTCGCGATAATCACATCACCTGATTAAGTGTTCGGCCTACGTTAAGGTTAGCGTGATAGGTTAGTAGGCTAATTTGTTTAGTGCTAGTAAACAAAGACGTAATTGCATGATTTCACGTGATGTGATGAACACTGGAGTACTTGTTCTTCAAGTGCCCTTTTTCGATCTATTGACTTTACGCCAACTCGAATGATTAATGAGATATAGTACTTTCATTGTTAATAATTACGTATAAAGATCACTACGTTGCTGCGACAGCGTCACACAGCTACCCTATTAATCAGTACCCTGATTTGGTTTATTACACTAAAATACAAGTATGCATGCGGCTAAATATGAAAATTCTGTTTTTGATACAACAATATAGACAACAAAATGAGCTAATCAAAAATACAACTTAATGCTATGCAGCTTTTTGTATTACTCTGATGAAACGTTATGTGCATGATTTTTTATTTTTATTTTAATTTTTAATTTTAATTTTTCCATCTTTAAGGCAAAATGGATTCCGAACAATTTTATGAACTTGGTTACAATAATCAACACGGTGTTGGTGTCAAAAAAGACGAAAAGAAAGCTTTTGAATATTATATGAAAGCAGCTGAATTAGGAAATCCGAAGGGGATGAATAAAGTAAGTGAATGTTATAATTATGAAATTGGAGTTAAAAGAAATTACCAGAAAGCATTCGATTATTGTAAAAAATCTGCTGATTTGGGTGATGCTATCGGAATAAGTAATCTTGGTTTTCTTTATTACGAGGGAAGAGGGGTTGATCAAGATTATAATAAAGCATTTGAATGTTATGAAAAAGCTGCTAACATGGGTGCTAAAGCATCAATTAATAGCGTTGCTCGATGTTATCGTAATGGTACTGGTACAAAGAGAGACATTCAGAAGGCAAATTATTGGTTCAAAAAATATAGAAGCCTTTTGGAAACTAACAAATCACCAGATCATATCAATCCTGAACTTAAGAAAATATTAGACGATGAGAAATTTAAATTATCTTGGATTGATTATGATGAGTTCATAGATGTCAATGAATGGGGAAAAGGAGGATTTGCAACTGTATATTGTGCAAAATGGTTCGATAGAATTAATAATATGATATGGTATGTTGCACTTAAAGTGATTCGTGATTCAAACGAAAATATGCAAGAATTTATCCAAGAGTTTAAGACATATTGTGAAATTGGTTACAAAAGCCCTTCGTTCCTGAACTGTATTGGTGCATCAAAAAATAATTCTGACGATTATATTATTGTTATGAAACTTGCACCAAGGGGTTCGTTACGTCAAAATCTTGTACAAGTATCACAATTGGAATGGAAAGATAAATTGAATATATTGTGCGGTATAGCATCAGATCTCGAGTCAATTCATTCTCAGGAACTCGTTCACAGAGATTTACACAGTGGAAATATTTTGCAAGACAAATCATGTGCCGCATATATTACTGATCTTGGACTTTGTAGAAAAGTAAAAGAAGGAAAAATTTGTGGAGTTCTGCCGTATATAGCACCTGAGATTTTAGTGGGTCAACCGTATACTCAATCATCGGATATTTACAGTCTTGGAGTTATCGCAACAGAGATTTCGACCGGACAAAGAGCATTTGATGGAATTCCATTTAATGATTATCTTGTATCAAGAATTATCAGTGGATCAAGACCTAATTGTTTAGGACCAGATTGTTATGTTGAATTAGCTATGAAATGTATGGATAAGGAACTTGATAAACGACCTACGGCAGCAGAAATTATTGAAATAATCACTCGTTGGTCAGATGAAATGGATCAGGAGGACGATAATGAAATCAAAAAACAATTTTTAGAAGCCAATAAGATCAAACCAGGACCAATTAAACAAATTCATTCACAAGACTTGTATACTAGCAAGATATATAATACGAATAAATTTTCAGAATATGCTAGTTAACCGTTAAGTTCAATAGAAATCTTAAACAAATTCTCAAGTTTATATTTAAATTAAGGGAAATTCTGGTTAATTTAACGAATTACGTGACATGAAGGGAGTTCTATTTTAAATAATCTACCATGTGATTTGTTGCTAGTATGATTTTGACTATTTCCTGAGTTTAGTATTAGCAATGCAACTAAAGTTTAGCTGACCGAAAATTTTTTACAAAGCCACAAGACGGGTTAAAATAATCCAGTTTAACATATAATTTTGCTTAAATATAAATTATATAAAATATGTATTTATATAGCATAAAATTAAGAAGGTGATTTTTCTTATTTATCAAAATTTCTAATCGTAATTTTATAGTACGGAGATAAATGTTTTTTTCACTTGAATTTTAAATTTCGGATTATTATGATAAATATTTAGTATTAGTTCTTATTGAAATAATTACACTTTATTTGATATTAATATTCAGTATTACCGTTTAGCACTACCCATCTGGTTTAATTCTTGAATAATACCCGGGGTAAATTTTATATGTTATATCCCCACATATAGTACCCGGTTCCTCACAAAGTACTCATGAGTACTATTTCGATTAGACCCCGGTAATTATGCAGTTCTAAACATCAAAATTTTGTATTTATTTATATTAATGTTCAGTAGTAGTATAGTATGAAAAAATAATTTCATATCTACTGAAATAAATATTCAGTACACTACAGAACTGTCCAATTTAGCAATTTAATACAGCTTGTAATTAGCTGTAAAGTAGCTATGTAGTTACTTTGTAGCAGCTACAGTTTTAAAGTTACTATATGCTAGCAATACGCCTACTACTATTGACTACCATGTTACTACTTTTTTACTATACTTTTACTATAATCCGGCAAAATCATATGATCATGAAATATTAAAATTAAAACTCAGTGAGCCCATTCATGATCATAAATTGCCGGATATTACTATTATTGGGCAATTTGTCGAATATGGTAATTTGACAAATGATTGGCTAAACGTGCGCTTTGCGGCACGTGCTCATTTGCCAAATTACCGTTATTAAACAATTTTTGCCCAATAATGTATACATATACTGTAGTAACTTTAAAACTGTAGCTACTACAAAGTAACTACGTAGCTACTTTATAGCTACAGTGATTGCAAGTTGTATTAAAGTTGTTAAATTGGACAATTCTGTAAAGTATTAGGCTTTGTACAATACTTAACAGCAAAAAACATCCATTTTTATATATAAAATATAAAATCAGAAATAAATAACCTTGTCTTGCAGATTTATTTTTCAGTTTAAACTATAATTCTGGTGAACCAGGATTTTATTTTGCTCATAAAATTAAAAAGTTATTAGAGCTTAAAATTTAGGCCGTACAAAGTTAAAATTTCGGTTTGCATAACCTGGTGTTCCGAAATTCCAGTCGGCGGATTTTTTTTTTTTTTAAAAAAAATATTTTTTTTTACAAATTAATAGATTCATGCTTATTTAAGGCTACGCAAGTTAATTTTTCGTTTTGAATAACATGGAATCAGAAAATTTGGAAATTTTATTATTTTTTTTAACAGACCTGTCGGGCTATTCCGGAAATTAAGTTCATTATCGGATGATACCGGACAAATTTACGGAAAAAATTAAATAGTAAAAATGGCAATTGGAATTTTTTTTAAAAAAATTGGGACGGCGGGTTATGCAAACCGAAAAATTAACTTTGCGTGGCCTTATATGTAATCAAATTTGGCATTTAATATATAAAAAAATTGTTTATATATGCTTTTAACCAATCAGAAGTCATTTTAAAAAATTGGAATAATTCTGTATCAATTAATATAAATATTCAGTATTGATTTATTATCTGAACGGGAGGATTGAGGATCATCACATAATTAAGTGTTCGGCCTACGTCAGGGTTAGGTGATAGGTTAGTTTAGGCTAATTTGTTTAGTGCTAGTAAACAAATGATGTAATTGCATGATTTCATGTGATGTGATGATCACTGGGTTCCTTGTTCTTATTTTTTCATATGGCATTTTATTATACGAACGTATGTCAATTTTTATTATAAAGAAAGTTTCCATCAGGACCATAGAAAATGTGCATTTTATAGTGGCGTTGTTGCTCAATCTCCCGATGCCCACTTTTTCGTAGCACCATTTTCTGATCATAATATCAATAACATTACTTACTGGAAGATAGTCTATTGCGTTTATAAAAGCTTTCACTAAATGAATTTTTTCGATAAAACTAATTTTC